TAAAGCCACAAAGGAATGACAGACTTTCACAGACTTCACAGATAATTCAATTACATAAAATGCACAGTAAAATTTGTTAAGTTTACTTAATTAAATTGTGCAAACATGTTGCCTTAATTCAATTAAGTAATCTTAACTTTATTGTATTAAGTGTCATCTAAGTCTTATTTACTAATATATTAATTAAAATGATTCCTTAATTACATTTAGTCGCATTTGCTTAGACCATTTAAGTTTTGTTTATTTAACTGAATCTGTGATCTGAGGAATGGTGCCAGTAAAGTTTACTTAGGCAACAGTATATGATAATTATTATTTATTAATAATAACAAAATTATATCCCTATATACAAGAAACAGAAGCAGAGAGTGCTACACAGGTGTCTTTATATAGCCACTGGTGCTCATTGGATGTGATGGAGGTAAAAATCAAATTATGTAGACGAAATACTTCCAAGGCACTCATGTGGCAAGATAAAAAGCCTTTAATGAACTGTGCTTAAATTATTACAACTAGTTAAAAGTATATATACGTGTTTCGGCAAAACAGCCTTCTTCGGGACACACATCAATTGCTCAAACAGGGCTGCGTTCAGCCCCGACAAAACGGTTCAAAACGTTTTTTAAACGGAAACGGTGGTGCGTTGAACACACTGTTCTGATGACGCAAGAGTTGCAACTATGGCAGCTGAGAAGGCCATTCTTTGTGTTCTTTTTGAAGAATTTTCAGAATTTTCACAATACAATAGCAAAATATATAAATATGTATAGTATTTTTATGTTACAGTAATCAGTGTCTAGCACACCTTCCTAAGGAAAGGATGGACCAGACGACATTGCAATTACTAAATGATATTTAGACAGACATAAAGAAGTTCCAAACAAAAGAAAACGTATCTCAAACCCCGTTGCAGACCGTTGCACACTGTTTCCAGGAAACACGTCGTTCAAACCGGAAACCGTAGCAAAACGTTGCGCACCGGTTTGAGCTTGAACTTGCCCCAGGTATTCTTAAACTAGTGTTAATTAATGAATCATCAAAAACAGCTGGTTAATATGTAGGTGTGGCTAAGACTAGCCTCTTAGTACAAAGGGAAAAAAAGAGGGAAAAAAAATAACAATAATAATGCGAAAAAAAATTTATAATAATAATAATAATAATGTGAGGAAGAAAAAAAAAAAAAGAAAAAAAATATATATATAACAGTGTAGGTATAGAAGGTATAGACATCAATAATGCAGATTACAAAAATGGTTAAAAAAATCTATTTCTTCATTAACTCCTGGGGACTTAGTCGCCCGGAGCGTATGAATCCAAAAAGTCTCTCGTTGTAGAAGCTGTTTCTGTCTAAAGAAAAAAAAAATATATATAACAGTGTAGGTATAGAATTGTACATCATCAATAATGCAGATTACAAAAATGGTTAAAAAAATCTATTTCTTCATTAACTCCTGGGGACTTAGTCGCCCGGAGCGTATGAATCCAAAAAGTCTCTCGTTGTAGAAGCTGTTTCTGTCTATTTCCACCTCTTATTGAACATGGGATAGATTCAATTCCCTATATAATTTTCTGTACTGTTTCAAACACATGGTAACTAGTAAAAATCACAGGTCTCTTATCATATTTTCAAAATGCTGCATATAGCTGAATCAAAGTCTGAATGAACACACAAGAGGTTTCCTCTGCATTAAAACTGGGAAGTACTGCAACAAAATGCATTAAACAGGCAACTCAGGAATAAAGTCAACACAACTATAGAACAGATAACGTCAACTGTCTAAACAGAGATGACACTGCACTTCACATCACAGCTCCATATTCGTAACATTTTTCCAACCTCATTTGAGTGCTTGTGAGCAGACAATGCTGATTGATACTCAACAATATAACATTAATACAAGGATGCAGTGATCCATTGACATACATTAATTTAATTAATTAATGTATGCATTTAGCAGATGCTTTTATCCAAAGTGACGTACAGTGCATTCAGGCTATACATTTTTTACCAGTATGTGTGTTCCCTGGGAATCGAACCCATGACCTTTTGGGCTGCTAACGCAATGCTCTACCACTGAGCCACAGGAACACATACATACATGTCAAGCAACGAAAATAACAAAAAATACAAATCAGAATTGAAGTGTGTTTAGGCCTTTAAACAAATATGAATACTGAATAAACAGAACTGAATCCATTCAAAAAGTGGAACTGAACTAGCATGTTTTTTTTTCCTATGACATCATGTTGTGAATCAAGTCATCTCAGTAGAGGTCACGTGAACTGCAGGTCAGATAATCTCAACCTTTTCATCTGAGATGTGTTGATTCAGGCAAATAACTGGTTCTTCAAAGTCTGAAGTTTTGGTTTCATTGATTTCGATCCCAGATCAAGCATAACTTGCTGGATGTCATTGAACGTGTTCTTCGTGCACTTTGGGTAATCAAGATGGAGTGCATATGAGAGTCCAAACAAGAGACAAACTGCAAGAGGCAGGTCCCTGACATAATTCACTACGATAGCTCCCTCTATGATGATAGCTGTGGAGACTGGATCTGCAGGGAGCAATGAAGAGCAGTGAGGAGAGTCTTCGTTGAGGACTGTCAGAATGCCAACAGGAATGTGCTCAAAGTTGTTTTCATTTACATTTACAGACCTTGAAAAATTCTGAGGGGTTGTCCCCAAGAAGGACAGGAATGCCACGGAGAACCGCAGTGCGTCAAAGTGTAGGGGAGAGTGGGGTAAGATGAGCCAGTGGGTAAGTTGACCCACCCCCTGTATCTTGCCAACTGTACACTTTTATTGTCATGTGACCATATATTTTGAAACCACCCATAATTTCTGCCAGACTGTGAAAAGAAGAAACACACGGGAGGAGTGGAAGGCACCCAATTACTTTAAAAACTGTTTTTGGCTTGTCAAAGTAAAATGTTAGTATAACAGATGTAATGGCTGTTACATCAAAGCAAATTTATCCAGGTCTAAAAATATTTATTATGCATATAAGTGATTTAGCAATGTATAAAACCATGTAAATCATTTAGCTAAATATTAGCCTGAATTAGTAAGCAAGCTAGTTTTTTTGCAAAATGGCAGCTATGGGGCAAAGTATGCTGTGGGGTAAATTGATCCAGCATTTTATCTTACCCTACCATAAGGCACTGAAGTTAAGTTAAATCTCTGAAGTATAAACTGGTACTTTAATTTGATAGTACACAACTGATTTAGTTTATCATATATACATATTATTAATTGTAGTTTAGTTGATAGGGACAGTGTACAAGGGCACCAAATCCATATCTGATAAGAACCAGAAGATGCTTTTCATCACATTATAATCAGATATATCTTTCCACCTGTAGTCCCTAATGGCCTGTTCGACATTGCAGAAAAGCTACCATGCCAAGAATCGTTTGACTAACAAACTCTCTGTTTAGTCTGTTTTTTGGGAAGATTACAACGTTGGTGTTAAACATATTGTTTCAGAAATGCAAACAATTAAAGATTTTCATTTGGTTGGTTTTATGTTGTTTACATTAGCTTTAAGAAAAGAAATAAGACTGTTTGAAAAAGGAAATTTGATTATTAAATTAGTTTTTAAAAGAGGTAAATTATCTTTCAAATTTAACATGGGTTTGAACCAGATTCAGTCAGATGGTAAGTTTACAACCAGATGGTTCATCTTACTCATTGACTCGGGTCAACTTACCCCCACCCTGGGGCAAACTGAGCCACAGGAACACTTTTTTATAAGAAGCCATATTTTTAGAACCCTTTGTCATAGATACATTCCGATCATTTAAAATGATAGGAAACATCCTGAAGTTACTTCTGCGTCATTTTCCCTTATCTTGAGGTTAGGGTTAGGGTTAACCTAACCCATAAGTAAAAAGTGGCTCATCTTACCCCACTCTCCCCCTACCCTCAGTTTCCTGAAAAAAGAGAGGGTTTTATGAAATGATATTCCATGTTATTCTGTTTCTTACCACAATCACTTTTTCCCCTTGTGCAGACCTATGAGCTCATCAACATGTAAAGGAGCTATGTCCATGGTGTTTTCCATGATTTTTCAGTCTGAAGAACGTTGGACACATTTTCAAGTATCTAAAAAGCATAAGTCCCTTTCAGTCTTGCTGATAAAACAAACAATGCATTCAAAAAATTCCACAAGGAGCCCAAGCCCAATGCAGCTGCAACTCTCATCTAATACATCAATGAGGGCATTCAGCAGAATGTCAGAGCAATATTTACCACATCTCTTTAATAAACTCTTAAAATTTGTCTGCCTCAATATCTGATCAGTTATCTTTTTTTTTTTCCTCAAGGATGACTGTTTAGGCACTGATGTATTTTATGTTGAGCTAGTGTTCACCACAGAGCTTTCAGGTATTTAACCAATAACCCACTGTAAAAAACCCACTGCTTTTACATAAATGTAACCGGAAGTGCGAAAGTGCTCAATTGTTTCCTGGTTTTGCCTACAAAATATGTCATCCCTGCAGCAATCTCTTCGTAGCTACTTATTTAACTGTACCCAAGAGATTGCCTCATGTAAAGATGCAAACATGCAAATACAGTTAAACTCATCTCACAAAGTCTAGTTCAGGACATTTTTAGGTGTGCATCAGTTAATCAAAGAATTTATTACAATTAACGTTTTGCCCAGATGCAGTTTTGACAGCTAGGTACTGCTAAATATAGCCTACAATTTATGGGTTTAAAGTTTTTCATCAAGAAAACTGTTTCTGCATCCTTATGTCAAGTGTGAGTCTAGGCATTAATCCAAAGGATGGGTGTTCGAGGAAAGGTGGAGGACATTAGATGATGTTTGGCGTTCTCTTGTGGTACAAAATTGTTTTTGATCACATTTTTAAACGGACTCTTTCTTTAAATTTTAGACTTTTATTTTGAAAATGCAACTCTTACTATGAAATCCTATGCATGTATAATCTCTACTAGTTCCCGTTGGCGGGATTAAACAGATTGGCTATCAATAAAAGTCATGCAGATCAGCATGTACACCCCTCTTCAAAAATGCCATAGAGCAATGCATTTATTTCATCTGATCTATAGTTATGTGTAATATATTTTAAAACCACTGATCGTAAAAGTCGTATCATTGGAATGTTAAAGGAAGATGATGAAGATTGTAGAGCTGCAAAAAGAGGGAACATTTCAGCTGTCCTTTCTGCCATCTCCAGTGTTGTGTCTGGTGAGTTTTTAAATACACAATATCTAACAGATTTAAGAAATATTCTGTATGTTGAGACAGTAGTAGCAGTTGTAGGATACTAGTACACTTTCAAACACTGCCATACTTGTTTGCAATAAAACAATATGACAGAAGAAAAAAAAAAAAAAACTGAAATGTGCTGTAAAGTAAATAACATAAACTTAAAGGGGTCATATGATGCAATTTCAATTTGTCCTTTCTCTTTGGAGTGTTACAAGCTCTTGGTGCATAAAGAAGATCTGTAAAGTTGCAAAGACTAAAGTCTCAAATCCAAAGAGATATTCTTTATAAAAGTTAAGAGTCAACCACGCCTACCTAAAACAGCTCGTTCTAACACGCCCCCACATATCTACATCACGATGTGGGAAGATTTGCATAACGCCGCCCAAATGTTCACGCAAATAAAGAAGGCGTAACTTTTATTCTCGCTGTAGTATTGTTGTTGCCGCCACCATGTCGTGAAGGCACTGTGTGATTCATTGTGAAAGCGAAACTACTTTGTTTGGCCTTCAAAAATGGACACGACTAGAAATCAGTGGTTAAAGGCGCAATAGGAGATCTTGGAAAATGCTAACTTTAGCCTGATAGCACTGAAAGCGAATGTCCCACCCACCCAATCGCTGTCCAAAGCCACGCCCCCTGAATGCATATACGCTCACTCACAGACCAGAGTACCAGATACAACATTACTACAATAAGCTACATCAGGTTCCCAATTCCAGCCCATGTTCCGAAGTGAAGTAAACTTCAACGTATTTCCCCTGCTCAGTCAGGAGGGAGCAATGAACACTGTGTAGGGATCATATCGATCGGAACACAGTTCATGCACATAGCTCACTTCTAACGAGCTGGTTATCTGAATCGGGTGTGTTAACTAAGCGAGACATTCAAAATATGCAGAGCGGCAAAATAATGTTCTTTTTAGCAACATCATATGACCCCTTTAAGTGGCATTATATCATAGGACTCGCATAATAGATTTGTGTTTCAGTCAAGTTAAGATTAATATAAAGAAGTAAATAATACGCTCCTGGAATCACTTCCTCATTTTGTAAGCTAATGTTAATATTGGTAGACCAATTCCATTTTGAGCTATGTGTAAAATTAAGTATTCGTATTCATTTCTACACATATTCGTCTTTTATTATGAAATCGCAATGGTCGCTTAGACGTCATATTTTGGCGACGGTCTTTTGAGTAGGAATTTAGTGCTGTTGTCGGTTCTGTTGTGACAGCAGTATCATCGCTGGTGGTCGTTACGTTTCTCCGTGTTTCTGTGTTTTTCGAGCAGCTGAACTGGATCATGTTGTCATGTTGGACAGCTCCAAAAAAAAAATAAAAATAAAAATAAACCCACCTGCCAAAATGAGGAAGTCGCATTTCATAACACTCTCATAGCACTTCCTCATCAGTAAACTCCTCTGATCAGTGACATACACACAGCATATTTTCTCAAATCAGTGATATTTAGTGTGTTTGGGCAGGTTTTCTCGGGAACTGGATTTGTTTTAAAGCATCAGAGATGTTAAATGTACCATCTCAGTCTTTTCCGGCAGCTGGATCCCAGCAGAGAGTCGCACCAACCGGACAGTCCAGAAATAAGGTTGGTCCCTTGAACTACATTATTGTCATAGGAATAATGCAATGAGTGGTTTAAATGCATAGCAAAACGAGACGGCTCTATAATTGCCATTCAGCTGTCCCTGTGTGTACAGCACTGCATGTTTACTGCTGTGTTTAATGAGTAACGTTACAGGTGGCGCTAAAGCCGGGTCACAGTCTCCTGGACTGGATCAGACTGACCAAGAGTGGACGTGATCTGACTGGACTGAGAGGTCGACTGATTGAGGTGACAGAAGAGGAGCTGAAGAAACACAACACCAGAAACGACTGCTGGACCTGCATTAGAGGTATAACATCAAAATACACATCATGAACTCAACTCATCTCAGTAAAGTTTATGTCTATGCGTACTGATTTTAATTTAAAGGGTCATGAAACCCCCAGACTACTTTTTCTGAGATTTTAGCAGAGGTGTTTGTGTCGCACATCATAGAAGACAATGTTAGCATCCGATAATTTTAACTGTTGGAGAAAACTGGTTAATTTGAAGCTTTTTTGCTCTATTTTCATCTTCCGGGTTTAAAATCTACATTGTGTTGACGTCACAATTTGTGACGTGGCAATGGACTAAAAGTACATCGATGACGCGTAGGTGTCTATTAAATTATTCATGAGACTGAGTGTTCTTATCCTATGAGAAGACGCGTCGCTTAATTATTCACAACAGCATGTGTTGATTTGCTATGACAGATGTTTCAGAGTCTGTGAGATGACATCGTGCACAATAACTGAGAGAAATGTTCATGGATCGAAGAAGAGTGTTTGTTTTTGCTTTGTAATAAGAGTTCGGCACAACCGCGATTCATTCACTTGGTGAGCATAACCGTTTTTACAGCTCTTTGTAGGCCTGTCGCAATAATCAATATATCGACTTATCGCGCAATATATGTACATGACCTCAATAATTTTTTGTGACGCAATATATCGCCCATTATATTTACTTCAAAATTAATGTTACTATGTTTTGTACATTCCACTTGCGCCTGTGGCTTTTGCAGCTTCTCGTACATAACGTGGTGTAGTCATGAGGTGCTAGTTCAAATAAAAAATGCTTCTACAAAAAAAAAGTTTCATCTGCAGATATGGCCTTGTTTAGGGATCTGTGCCTTTGTGCATACGGACATCTGACTGCTGAGTAGTGATTGTGTTTTTCAGCTATAGTGTGCATCCTTAATTTACAGACAAAAGAAGGTCAGGGAAAAATCTCTAGATGGAAAAATCTCCATACAAGTTCTTTGTGCATTTTTCTTTTTTTCTACTTGTTACTTTGCACTTTTTGTTAGAAAATGTTTATTTACTATTCATTCAGGTTTTTTAAGGCATCTAATATTTTGATACTTAATTTCCATGATCTAAATATTCGTAAAAATGTGTTGTCATTTGGAAGTGTGTAGGCCTTCTTGCATTATTATGCCGTTGCATTATGATTATATATTCAGTGGCATAAAATGGTGTTTAAAATTACAATAATATCGCTTATCGCAGTTATTTCTGGGGCAATATATCGTACAACAAAAAGTTGTTATCGTGACAGGCCTAGCTCTGTGACACAATCCGTCAAAATTAACTCTAGGGGAGTTGGAAAATGAGCCTATTTTCAAAAATAGTGGAGTGTTCCTTTAAAAGTTCTCAGAGGTGCAACAGCACTTTCATATATATATGTTTTCGATGCAGAGTGCAAATGGCTGTGCATTTATTTGTGTTTTTAACTCGATGGGAGTGAAATGAAACTGTCAGAACGCTAAGCTGTGTGTGTGTTGTCTGTCTCCCCTCTTCCCCTCCTCCGCTCCGCACCACGCCCACTTTTTTAGCATTTTTTAAAACTGTGGTGAGAACTAACCAGAAACGGGGGGTTTCATGACCCTTTAAGAAAACCTTTTGGTGGGAATGTATCTCGCTCAAGTTTGGATTCGGTAGGACTTTTAAAAAAGAAAGAAAGAGAGAAACAAACAAACAAACACTTTCATCAAAAAACAATGCATTTAATTGATCAAATATATCAATAAAGACATTTATAATATCAAAAAATGTTTAAATCATGGTTTCCACAAAAATAAGAAGCAGCACAGCTGTTTTCAAGTTTGATAATAATCATAAATGTTTCTTGAGCAGCAAATCAGCATATTAGAATGATTTCACTGGATTAATGATGCTGAAAATTCACTTATGCAAACAGAGAAATAAATTAGAAATACATTTAAAATATATTAAAACTGAAAACTGATATTTTCAATTGTAATCATATTTTTTAAACTATTTTTTCATGAAATAAATGCAGCCTTGGTGAGCATAAGTGACTTCTTTCAGTTCAGTTTGTATCCAGACAAGAAATAAAAGATGTTAGGGCTGTGTCAGATCAGATGTACACATGACTCTGTATGTTTGTGTGTTTTCTGTAGGTATGGTCTATAACGTGAGTGCCTACATGGATTTCCACCCTGGTGGGGAGGAGGAGCTAATGAGGGCTGCTGGGATTGATAGCACTGACCTGTTTGACCAGGTAAATGCTCTCTGGGCAGAGCGTTTGAAAACAGTGCTTTCAGAAAACCATATTTTATGTCCATATTTTGCTCTCAGTTTTTTTGTGTGTAACACTTCATATTAAGAATACAGTTACAATTACTTATAAATAATGTGCAAACGAGTTAATTAAAAGTGTTTTCCCCCCTTTTAATTAGCTCATATCATATGTAAAGAGTTACAGTAGGTTTGTTTTTAACAACATGATCTCATGTGTATTTGAATGCATTTTATGTGCGGTTCTACCGCATGCACATTTACTTACATTTAAACTTTAATCATTTACGTGTGAACAACTTTATAGATCTACAAATATTTATGTAATGTGAATGCTGAATTCATGGAATTAATCTTTTGATTCTGCTGAATTTGTGAACAATAAAATAGCATTTCGCATTTAACATAGTTGACTCAATTGTATGTTGAACAGTTGTGCTTTACATTTTAGTATGCATCAAAACATACAAAAAAAAAAGTATATATTTTTTTTCAACATGTAAATGTTACATATGAGTATCTGCATTTAAATAATGAGGCTAGTCTGATTTTTAAACCAGAGTTGTTAATAGTTAATGAGAACATTAAAAGTTATTAATACTAAAGAAATGTAAAGAAATGTTTATGTATAAAGTGAATTGATTCACATTTATATGTAAACATTTTAGGAACACTTGCTAATAATGTATTAAAAACGTAGAGACTTCTTTTTATAAACTATGTTAATTAACTATAAACTAATAGCTTGCAAATGATTTGTAAATATTATTGATGATGTTTGTCTGTCTAAGGTCCATCGGTGGGTGAATTATGAGTCCATGCTGAAGGAGTGTCTGGTGGGGAGGATGGCAGTGAAGCCCAGTCCTGCTCTTCGAGGTTCTGTCAGCTCTTTTGGTAGTAGAAATGAATTCAGTGAAATGCATTCATTTTTGTGGAAATACAGAATTATTCTCATACAAACATCCTGCCTTGTGGCCAAGTTCTTGTATGAAATAATCAATAGTTGAAAAAAAATGTTTGTACTAATTAACATGCTGTTAATGGAATGGAATATTCCTTTACTTTCAGAACCAAAGCCGAAATAAGATTTTTGATGTTGTTGTTTTAGTTTTTGTTCTAATGCCTCATTACATGTTTCTTTGGTTCCTGCAGCTCAGACAGAGAAGACGGAGAGCGCTCACATGAACGGTATGACATCAAAGCCGTAGTTCAACTATGCAGATTTCTAGTTATAAATGCTGAGTATGCTATTACTTAATTACTTATTGGACTCATGCGGAGTAATTATGTGTTTTGTACTCTTCATACCAGGTTTGTCTGTTCCTCCACCTTCAAGACAGGAGCCCTTATCTTCTCCTCTCCCTGCCAAAGATCATCGCCCTCGGTATGTTTTTTCCCTATGTCATGATTATAATAAAAATTATACTGAGTGACTCATTCCTTGGTACAGTATCATCTGGTCTGCATTTTATGCAGCATTTAGGGCTGGTTGTGGTCAATTGAATAATGGTCTTGGCTAGTAATATTGAGTTTACATGTTTGATCCCAGGTAGATTCAGCTTGTGAACCAGAGTTTTTTTTTTTTTTTTTCTAACTACTCAGAGAAAGTTTACTAACAGCGCTCTAAAAATATTAGTATTTTATAAAAAAAATAAATTATATTAAAATTGTATTTTACATTACAAAATAATTACATAATATTCAAATAAATGAATGCTAGGCAAAATTTAGACAAATAGACTTGTCAGCCTCACCTAACTGAAGTCACACTGGCTGATTCTCTGTATATTTATTCTTCATTTTTAGATATGATTGGTTCCAGACAGATGGCACTGTCAATATCATTGTTTACACCAAACGAAAGGTCGGTGTCAACTCATTTTCCTTAAATGCAGTGGTTATCTGGTTGTCTCTTCTCAAACATAAAAAAAAAAAAAGTCAAATTCTCTATTATTTTGCCCTCACCAGATTCCCAGTGCTGGCTGTGCAGTGGTGGATCTACAGGGTGATACTCTTCGGGTGGAGATGCTTTTGGGGAAGATGTCGTACCTTCTCTACTGGCGTGGGTCTTTTTGCATTTCTTCAGTCACTTAGAGATGAACATTGTGTATTGTTCTATATCAAGTTGATAACACTGTATCTTTTCAGGCCTGTCTAGTGAAGTTCAAGGACGTGTTGATGGTGAGTTGTATGTTAAATTGGACATGCTTTTTTGTGTTGAATCTAGAATTATATTGAAAATTATCTGTACAAAAAGTACTGTGGCCGTACCATGGTGAAGTGATGGTGTCAGCTAATATTACTGTGATCCATTGAAGAGTACAGTACCTTGCTACTGATTCATTACTATTTTAATTTACTACAGCATTTACATGGTCTTACTATTTAAACATTATGCGTATTATAAATAAACAATCATTTATTTTTCTCATTCTAAAGAAGTGTTTCCCTGTTGTCCTGTGCTTATAGTCCAGACAGCCCACTCTGTAGGAAAAGTTCAGGTGTGTCTGCACAAATCAGTCAAAGACAAGTGGACGAAAGTGGGGCAACCACTAGAACACCATGACACATTTATTCAGTGTAAAGATCGTGGTGAGTAACACACCTATGATCTTAATTGTCAGAAAAGTATCTAAATTTCAGAGAATTTGCTGTTTAATTTTGTAAAGATAGAGGCATAGAGGAACACATTTGAGATACTACTTTGTTTTGTTACATAACATGAAATAAAGGAGTACCACAAGGCTCGGTGTTGCATCCTTTATTATTTGTTCTGTATGTAATTATTTTAGTGTTAAATTATTTACTGTGTTCCTAAAGCAAATTCAAATTTTTATGTTGATGTTTTTACTACTGTGCTTATACGTTCATTTTTTTTAATTATTTTTTTTTTTTGTATTATTATTTCTGTTGTTTTTGGAAAATTTCTAAACTTCAGATTTGGTTCTAAATGCAGAGGAAAAAAATATTTTTACTATTAAAGGCATTCATATTCAATCAAATATGAATCAGTGGCTAAAACGAGTGAGTTTGGAAAGGTCTTCGTATCTACTTCCTCTTCTTAGAACACATTTAAACTCTAAAATTACAAATCTTAGTACCCTTGTACAGTTCAAGGTCGAAGTAAATTTTTAAACACATATTTTAGCTTATACAAATATTTTAATATATAACTAGTTAGTACATTTGTTCAGTTACCTAACTCCCTCCTCACTTCCTCATTCATTCATTTAAGAAATTACTTGGTAAAACATAAATAAATAATAATAGTAAGGTTTAATAACATTTGCTTGATCACAGAGCTCTCCTACAGGGAATGCGTGTTGGTTTCGAAATCAGACGTCACACACGACACGCAGGTCTTGTGTTTACAACTTCCTCCAGGGTCAAATATGCAAGTTCCTGTGGGGAGACACGTCTACCTCAAAACATCTCTCCAGGGTAATACGACACTTTGTCACACAGCTCATGCTCTGCTGATCTAAAGAGAACTGATGGAAGGTGATAGTTTTATGGAGTGTTGTCTTTTTGCATTTCTTCAGTCACTTAGAGATGAACATTGTGTATTGTTCTATATCAAGTTGATAACACTGTATCTTTTCAGGCCTGTCTAGTGAAGTTCAAGGACGTGTTGATGGTGAGTTGTATGTTAAATTGGACATGCTTTTTTGTGTTGAATCTAGAATTATATTGAAAATTATCTGTACAAAAAGTACTGTGGCCGTACCATGGTGAAGTGATGGTGTCAGCTAATATTACTGTGATCCATTGAAGAGTACAGTACCTTGCTACTGATTCATTACTATTTTAATTTACTACAGCATTTACATGGTCTTACTATTTAAACATTATGCGTATTATAAATAAACAATCATTTATTTTTCTCATTCTAAAGAAGTGTTTCCCTGTTGTCCTGTGCTTATAGTCCAGACAGCCCACTCTGTAGGAAAAGTTCAGGTGTGTCTGCACAAATCAGTCAAAGACAAGTGGACGAAAGTGGGGCAACCACTAGAACACCATGACACATTTATTCAGTGTAAAGATCGTGGTGAGTAACACACCTATGATCTTAATTGTCAGAAAAGTATCTAAATTTCAGAGAATTTGCTGTTTAATTTTGTAAAGATAGAGGCATAGAGGAACACATTTGAGATACTACTTTGTTTTGTTACATAACATGAAATAAAGGAGTACCACAAGGCTCGGTGTTGCATCCTTTATTATTTGTTCTGTATGTAATTATTTTAGTGTTAAATTATTTACTGTGTTCCTAAAGCAAATTCAAATTTTTATGTTGATGTTTTTACTACTGTGCTTATACGTTCATTTTTTTTAATTATTTTTTTTTTTTGTATTATTATTTCTGTTGTTTTTGGAAAATTTCTAAACTTCAGATTTGGTTCTAAATGCAGAGGAAAAAAATATTTTTACTATTAAAGGCATTCATATTCAATCAAATATGAATCAGTGGCTAAAACGAGTGAGTTTGGAAAGGTCTTCGTATCTACTTCCTCTTCTTAGAACACATTTAAACTCTAAAATTACAAATCTTAGTACCCTTGTACAGTTCAAGGTCGAAGTAAATTTTTAAACACATATTTTAGCTTATACAAATATTTTAATATATAACTAGTTAGTACATTTGTTCAGTTACCTAACTCCCTCCTCACTTCCTCATTCATTCATTTAAGAAATTACTTGGTAAAACATAAATAAATAATAATAGTAAGGTTTAATAACATTTGCTTGATCACAGAGCTCTCCTACAGGGAATGCGTGTTGGTTTCGAAATCAGACGTCACACACGACACGCAGGTCTTGTGTTTACAACTTCCTCCAGGGTCAAATATGCAAGTTCCTGTGGGGAGACACGTCTACCTCAAAACATCTCTCCAGGGTAATACGACACTTTGTCACACAGCTCATGCTCTGCTGATCTAAAGAGAACTGATGGAAGGTGATAGTTTTATGGAGTGTTCAGCAGGCTGGTTTTGTGTGTTTGGTGCACAGGTACAGATGTTGTGAAACCCTACACACCAGTGGATCAGTCGCTAATACCTCCCTCACAATCCAGTGCTGAAATGGGCTCAGACTTAAATCTTATGATAAAGATCTATCCTGATGGATTGTTGACCTCACATCTCGCCAGCCTTCCTATTGGTTAGTAACTTCTCATATCTTTTTTTTTTTTTTTTAAAGAAAGAAACAGCATTACATGATTTTACACCATGGTTGGGCAATTCATGAGCTGGAATTTGAACCCCTCCCTTGTCCATAAACCTGTTTGTAAGATCTGTTAAACCAAATGGATTTCTTTGAATTTTAGTTCACTTTAATTCTTAACTTTTTAATTTTTTTTCAAACTCAAATGTTAATGGTAGGCCTTGTTTAGTATCTTAGTTCAAATTTGGATTGAATGATAACTAAATAGCTTTCTCACTTCATGGCTCACAGCCCTGTTTTGCACATACAGAATGAACAAAAAAGCACAAATAAAACAAATAGTAAGTTTCAGTTTGAAAATAAACATGAAAACTGGAATTGCATTGAATCACAAACTAACCTTACTAACTCCTGTCATATTTCTGGCCTGCTCCAGGATCCTCTCTGTCAGTAGGTGGTCCTGAGGGGTCCTTCAGTATGCGAATCCTGCATGATGTCACTCATCTCTACATGTTAGCAGCCGGCACAGGCTTCACACCCATGGCTCGTCTCATACGACTGGCTCTACAAGACCTCACATCAATCAGGTCTGCCCAGTACAAATGTGGGAAAAAAAAGAAAAAAACAAACAACATGCACTATTTCAGTCACCAGTCGAAAAGCAAATGTTGCAAGAAATTTTGCTGGTGTCAAGGTGGTTTTAATCGATGAATAAAGTCAGTTACCCTGGTGTCCTAGCAGCATAAGCTTAGTCGTAGTTCATCACATTAAAGTCACTATGAAATCTGAACAGCTAGTTGTCTACCAAATTATATAATGTTAAAGGGGTCATATGATGCGATTTCAAGTTTTCATTTCTCTTTGGAGTGTTACAAGCTGTTCGTGAATAGATAAGATCCCTAAAGTTGCAAAGACTAAAGTCTCAAACCCAAAGAGATATTCTTTATAAAAGTTAAGAC